TGGGCATTTCTACTGCCAACCAAGCAAAAACGTCTAAGTTATTAAGTAAGAAGCTTACCAGGTTGGAGCGTACCAGTTCAGTTAGGCGAGCTCCTATTTGTACTGTCTTCTCTGGCTCGATCTTTGAGACCAGCACTAGGACAGTATCTTCCATAGGCTGAGCTCGCTGGTCTATGTTCTCAGGTGGTGGCTCCAAGTCGATGTCAATAGTGATCTTGCCTTTTGCCTTAAGGGCAGCCACATAACATTTGAGAGACTCTAGCCGGTCACCTCGCATAACTGCGATACCTTCAGCGGTGGGAAACTTTACTGCCAGATGATAAGTTGATACTAACGCCCAAAGGACATGCAAGATAGATCAGCCCATGATGGCGTTGTAAGGGGAGGGCATGGTGACCACAAGAAAATCATGATCAAACCAAACCAAGTTGGGGGGTGAGCCCACCACAACTGGCACCCTCACCCGACCAAGGGCCGAACCACCTCTCTGTTGAAACCAACTAGGGGTATGTTAGTTGGTTGCACATCTTTTTTTCGAGCTCCATGCGCTCGAAAGCTTCCTGAAAAATAATGTCGGTCGAGCTCCCCAAGTCGACCAGAATTCTCTTTACCTCAAAATCATTGATAGTCAACTTCATCACCAGGGTGTCGTCATGCGGATACTGTATTTTGCACATGCGGTCTTTTGTGAAGTACATTATCTCTTCTTTTCAGGGGTGCTTTGGTGGGTTCTCGTTGTCATGTTCTAAGTTCTGGATTGAAGTTTTCCCTATCGAGGTAATGTAACCTACTAGTATCGACCCTCCGATGATCATGTTGATGACCCCCAGATGGGCCGCTCTTGCTATTGTTCTCGGGGAGCTTGGTCTCTTTCTTGCTCCTTGCTTGTCTAGGGCACCTCCCTACGTTGATTGAAAGGTCAGCCTGCTTCTTCTCTCTTTACAAATTGTCAAAGGTACCCACGACAAATCAGTTTCTCGATCTTGTCTTTAAGATTTCTACAATTTTCTGTATTGTGGCCTATGTCACGATGGAAATGGCAATAATTATGCAGGTTCCTGGTTGATGGGTCAGCCTTCATCCTAGGCAGCGATCTTACATACTTTGTTGGTGTCATTTGCATAAAGATTTCACCCCTTTTCGCGTTTAGGGCGGTATAAGTTTTATTATACAATGGTGGAGTTCTAGACCATCGGCCTAATCCAAAACCCCGATGAGGAGATGTACTCTTTCTTCTAGGCGACTTGCTTTGCCTGCTTCCTAGTGACCAACTTCTCTTTGGTGACTTGATTCTCCGCTTTGTTTTGCTGCTTCCTGCTTCTTCCACATGCTTTCTTTTTCTAGATAATTCTGATTGTGACCCTAGTGCTTCCTTTGCTTTTATGAACTTATCTGCCTCGGTGAGGAATTTCTCCATAGTTGTTGGAGGGTTCAGTTCCATTTGGCAGTGCAGGTCAGGGTGACGTACACCATTTTTTCCGCGGTGAGTTGTACGATTGGGTTCAAGTCCGAGATTTGCAAGCATTCCAAGTTGAACCTTTTAATATACTCCCTAAGTGTCTCCTTAGGTCATTGGATGACGTTTAATATGTAGGTTGCAAACTTTGAATGCCTCTTACTGGTCGTAAAGTGAGTGATAAACAGATTGGCGAGCTAGTCCCAGTTTTTTATGGAGCCAGGAGCCAACCCCGAGTACCACAGTTGAGCTGAGTCTTGGAGAGTTGTAGGAAAGGCAATACATAGACTTGCATCATTGGCCCCGTTGAGCAGCATTAGGGCTTAAAAGTTGTCCATGTGGTCTATTGGATCTGTTGATCCATTATATGATTCAAGAGTAGGCACCGTGAAGTTCTTCGGCCGCGAGGCTATAAGTATCTCTGGGGCTAAAGGTGATGTGCGGGTTATAGGAAGCCTTGATGAGGTACATGCCTAGATGGTCGCTTTACTCTCTTCTTTTTTGTCCATCATGCTCACGACCGAAGCAAGCTGACTTTTCTTCGAGGCACGATGAGCACGTCTTTGGAGCCTCCTTTTAGAGCCTTCGGAGGAACTAGAGATCTCAGTTCCTATGGGAGTAGTAGCTTGGCTTTCCACCAGAAGTTGATTCTGGTTCTGATTCAAGACTTGGTTCTCCACTGGCATGGGGGTTGATTGTGGTTTTGGTCAGGAACCCGGTTAGAGACTTGTTGGTTCTGTTGTTGTTGTTGCTGCTACCCTCCCCCCCACTAGGTTGGCAAACTTGTTCTCCTAGGATCTCATATGGTCGTCATTCCACGAACGCATTGTACCAAGTCATAGAACTGGCACGCGTCGACCCTAGTGGGAGCCATAGATGGCTCAATCGTAGGAGGAGGCGTGTTCACATGAGATGGCATCAAGGTCGGGTTTAGAGCGGGTTGGACACCTGGTGGAGTCAAAGGTACATTAATTTGTCTGATAGTTACCGAGGGGATTTCCGGGGTCTTGGCAAGTTGTTCGTGCCCCCCAAAGACTTGGTTATTGTTGTTATTAGAAGGTTGCTTTCTTGACGAAGCCATAAGTGTCAATATGTGATGTTTAAAGAGAATGGGAACTTAGCTTTTTGTATCATGTTCCCACAGACGGTGCCAATTGATGTGGCATGATCTGATAGCTCTTGCGTGTTTGGTGACTCGGATGCTTGCCTTGTTAGTGGCCGAGCTGTGCTAGGCCGAGTTAAGGGTGTCCGAACTGTACTGTTCTGCAAGAGAGGTGAAGTTAGAGTGCCCGGGTTGTTTTACCCGGGATGGGCATTCCAATGCTTAAGTTAATGAATTGTATTGAGAGTTCTTAGGAGATAAGGGGATGCAAGAGCTTAATTGTGCATGCCTTCTTAGGTTAGAACGAGTGCTTTATATAGATGTGGGTGATTTGAGACCTCTTGCAATGGTCCCCAAGTTCTCGTGGAGCCATTTCCGTTCACTCGGGAGAGTAATGACGTCTGTTACATAATCCACGCAGGGGCTGAGATCTATCCGATTAACTCTAATGCGTGTGATGCGGTACGCCGGCTTAACAGTCAACTCATTAGTGCTCTGGAGATCCCAAACTAGCAATGGATCTATCTGACAAGTCAGCAAGCTCACCTCGTAAGTCGTCAATGGTGCTTCTCGTAGCTTGGTCAGTCTTTGGGATAGGTCACTAGTTGCGGGGAGACCTATTAGTCCGGTCTGGCCGAGGTGTTCATGGTTGGCCCAGGCATGGTGCTACAAGCCAACTTGTTGAGGTGATCCGCTTACTTGGTGCCAAGGTGTCATTTAAAAACCATGTCACGGTGTAACTCGGAGGACCAAATTACCCCTCATCATGACTCGTGTAGAAAGTAGAATGCACACAATAGTTAGATTTTCTTCAAGATCATCATAGGGTGGACTATCGAGTATAAGTTAATGTCCTAGACGAAGAGGAATCAGCATAGAAAATTAAATATGTTTATTAAAAAAAAAAAGAGTTTCCATTAGGAATGGCAATGGGGTGGGTGGGGCAGGGACGGGGAGCCTCTCCCCATCCCTGTCCCCGCAAAAATCCCCATCCCCATCCCCGCTAACGGGGACAAGGTTATCCCCATCCCCGTCGCCACGAGGATCCCCATTCCCCGTAATTTTTTTATAATGTTAACCATTTTGTTTTTGTTTTTGTTTTTTATTTTATTTAAAAAATAGGACTGAAATAATTAAAATTTACAATCTATTAAAAAAGATTCAAACATATTCAACCATATTTTTAAAATATAATATATACACATATGTGTACATATATAACATATGCATACATATATACATATATATTAGTGGGGATCCCACGGGGTGGGGAGTGCTCTCCCCATCCCCGCTAACGGGGATGAAAGTTTTTCATCCCCATCCCTACCCCATTCAGGGCGGATCCCCATGGGGATCGGGGGAATAGGAAAAATTGTCATCCCTAGTTTCCCTCTTCTTCAATATAATGAGGAACATTTATTATAATATAGATCTTAGAGTAGTGAGCCTAACGACATTAAAATTTACTTCTTAACATCTATATATAGTAGACGTTATTGTATGTTGTACACAATTACTTAAACTTTGCACACAATGATTTGTTGGTCGTTTCCCCTAGTATTTGTCATTTATGTTTGGAAGGTTCAATAGTCAACATCACCAAATATGTTATGGAACAATATGTTGGGGATAACAATCAAACAATTGATATAAGGTTATAAAATAGTGTTTTATATAGAGCATAGGGGCTTGAAATTAGATTTGTGCTATATTGTAAGCCCTTGTGGGTGATTATTATGAATGAAATGGGTAAATTGCTGAAATCTTTCCTAAAGTTTGGTAATTGCAATCACCTCCCTTGAACTTTCTGATATAGTTGCAAGTAGATTACCCCTTCTAGTAGAATCTTCTAAAAAGAGGCATGAAAATGTCCAAAATACCCATGCAATTACTTTCAATAAAAATGTTTGTTATCCAAATTTTCTCTTCATATGAATCATTACCCCAAACCCTTCTAATCTCATTTCTAAAATTGATTTATTTTTCAAATTTGCCTTTCATATAAATCACTCAAAGGTAAAGCTGCAGCTTTAAACTTTTTTTTTTTTGTTCATAAAGTTTGTATTTTGGACATTTCTATGATTCTTGCTAGAGAATTCTAACAAAAGGGTTTACCTGCAACTGTATCAGAAAGTTTAGGGGAGGCGATTGCAATGAATAAACTTTAGGAGAGATTTCAACAATTTACCCTTAATGAAACCCTAATCCTTTTTCTTATTAAAAAACACATATTTGTGGTCACATATTAGTCCTTACTTGGGTATTTACCTTTCTCTAACTATTTTTGCATGGAACCACTAAACAAAATTTGATTCCCATACATGAAATCCACATACCAATACTTGCATCATTGTAATCAAGGGGTTCTAATCTAGAAAATGTATATTGCTTAAATATAATCCATTCTCATTTGATAATGAAATGCTTGAAAGGTTTATACTACTAGTTTTTTGGATCAGTCTCTATTTCATGAGCTAATTCTTTGCTCAACTTGTCAGCACGATCATCTTGTCCACCTGCGAAGGTATAGACTCGATATGCCAGTTGAAAAGTCCTCCAAAGAATCTTAACTGATGCTTTAGATCGGTTGTTATTCTTTGATATAATCTCTTTATTGGTTATTGCAGTTGCTTCTCTTCTCTCCTGAAATAATAAATAAAATGCTCAGAAAGGAGTAAAGAGTTGTTCTTAATAAACTTAATCGGTTGCTTTAGGAAATATTTGTTCAATTAACCTACCTTAAGAGCCAATTCCATGCAACTAGAAGAAACATCCACCATCAATTCCTTGATTCGCACTAGAATATGGAAGTTAAAGTGGATATTGTGATCCCGAAATCGCTTAGATTCTTCATCTTTATATCTTTCTAATGCATCCACTTCTCCCTTAATCTGTATTTATGCATCTTCATTAATTATTGATGACAACTTGTACTAGTGAATATAATTTTATATATGAGTGGTTTCCACTAAACATTGATCGATGAAAATTTACCTTATTGAAGTAGCATTCAACCTTGTCAAGATGCTGACCCAGAGGAGCCACTACCTTCCAATTTTCAAGATTAGTAGCAATTGCATTTAGCCTTGAATACAATGTTGCTGCTGTCCTTAGTATCTCCAATTTCTTTATGGGGAAATCTTCAAACCTCGCTAGTACCTACATTTTAAAGAATTAAACACTGTGAGGCAAAAGAACATCAAATTGATGATGGTGAAATTCATTAAAACAACAATCTAGTGATAAAGTGACCTGACTTTCATCAATTAAGTCTTCTAGATGAAACTCTACATATTGGTGGAATTTAAGTAGCTCATCCATATCCTTTGTTTGGAATGAACTGATAGCAGATTTCATTTCAATGATTGTTGTTGCATATTCCTGAACATCTTGTTCAATTTGTAGAAAGTAGGCTGATCTGAGACACCAATCAATAATATAAATTAGAAAAGGGGATGAAAATAGAAAAAAAAATAGCTTAGATATTTATTTAATTAAGTCTCTAATATCTCTTCATTCATTGTAGATTATAATAATTAAGTGGTTTGGATTTCAGACCTCCTTGTTATCTCTGCTAATGCATCAGCCATTCCCTGTTTACCACCTGAACCCCCAACATGATTCTTTTTCCATTGAGATGACTTACCACCCAAAGTAGATCCTTCCACCTTTCCTTTGAGTAGCCGATACAAGTTCCCCATGTGCATTGACCTTTTTAACTTGGTATTTGTTTTCTTGTGGCATTGAGCTTTATTCACACCAAGTGGAGGAGGTGGGGGGGGAGCTGCTCCCTTTATTAGAGGCATGGGTGGTGACTGTGGCAATGGAATTGCTTCTTTTAATGGAGGGATTGGTGGTGGGGATGGGGTTGCTTTTATATTTGAGGGGGTTATAGATGGTGGATATTGGACTAGGGTTGTGGTTATTGGTGTTAATGTTGGGGGCAGTGGTGATACATTTAGAAGAGGTGGGGGTAGTGGTGATGGTTGTGCCAATACCTTTGGTTGCAAAGTGGGCTGGAGTGGTGGTACAAGTACAGGAGAAACACTCATTTCTTGAAGCACATCACTTATTTCATTACTTTCAAACTTATTGCTTGTTTTACTTGAATGGGGTGGGACCTTTGGTGTTTCATTTATGTCTCTATTATGTTCATTTTCCTTCTTGGCTCTTGGTATTGGTAATGCTTTCGAATTTGTCTTTGTTCCCTGGAACTTCAGCTCTGGTTCATCAAATTTTTGGCATATTTGAGCCATAGACTCAAGACAAGCACTCGTTTTGGGAAGTCCATCGCTCTTGTTACTTCCAAGCCTATTGTTTATTGTATAACTCGGATTGGGCATCTGGCCCTCTAATATATTGTTTGTGTCTCTCTTATCTTTGAGTTCTTCCTTAGCTCCTAGTGTTGGAACATAAGTGGGCTTCAATTTCCTCATAGACTGAAGCCTAAGAGACCAAAGAAATGGCAGTGAATAAGAAAAGCTAGAGAATTCCCTTATTGTTCCAAAACTTTGTGTCACCGCTGAAAGGACTGAAGTTGGGGTGCCCGGAGAAAGACAAGGATCTTTATTATCTGTATAGGAATCATTTAAGATATCTCCGAAAGCAATCTTATCATCATTCTCCCCATCTTCATCCATGACATCATATATTTCTTTTGCTGCCTTAATCATATTATCAAGCTTCTCCAGCACTCTTTCACCTTCAACACAATGATAAACCGATAAACAATTAATATTGTTTTCATGTAGGATGACTAAGATTTTTGGGTAGTGTCCCCAAGAGAAAAGTATTAATGTACCTAATTTCTCTGAATTTATGTTCATGTCATCATCTTTCTCGCATATGGATTTGGTCAACCACTCGTGGTTCTTGGCCCATGAATCACCAACAGATTTAAGAGCTTTATAAAAGAACAGCAAAACCTATACAAACAATATTTATTGTATTAGTTTCTAAGTTGATTTTAGTTAAGAATGCATTTTCCAAACTATCCCATATCACTTTTTATGTAACAAACAACAAACCTGATTTGTAGGCATTTCATTAGTTTCTCTCATTAGAGTATAGGGCACGACTTTGGGGTAAAGCTTGTGGAGGTCCTTCACAGTTCTCATTAACAACTATAAGAAGATACAAAGTAAGTAACTAAGAATTGTAAATAAACTCTATAAAACTTCAATGTGTAGTTTCTTGTCAAATTTCTAATTAAGAAAAAGAAATGATAAGAATACCTCATTGATAGGATCACATTCATTGCAAGGAGGAAAATCAATAAGATCTCTAAAGGTTAAGATCTTTTTTCGAAGTTCCACTATTAATGGAGAGCCTTCTATCCATTCATGTGGATTTTCTTTTTCTTTTTTATTTTTAAATACACCAATACCCTTGATTGCCTGCATTAATAATTTTCTTTTGGCTTAGTAGATGATTAATTCTAAGTGTGTGGTAAAAAAGCATAAAATTTATTTCTCATACAATATTAAATTGTCGTGTATTGTTACAGAATAAAAGAAGTTAAACATGAATAAGCATCTACATTTTTATCTCTTACACAAATAGGAAACAGGAAAGAAGAAAACCATATGAAAGGGACCCTACCTCGAAAGCATCCAACTTGCGATGAAACAACAACGGTGTTGAGTTCTGGAATCTTGACGCCATTGGTGACCCCCCCAAGTTGTTTTAAAAAGATTTGGGGGAGTTTGGCAATGCTTTCATAATTGTTTCCTAAACTCCATAATGGGTTAACTCTTAGGTTGATGAAGGTAGCCAAACAAAAGAGATTGTTTAAAGAGAATGTGCTATGACGACTTTGCAGAAAGGAAATGAATATGGGTTGCACCTTCTTGCTTGTAATAAGGATTTTAAGGTGAAAATTCGTTGAAATAAAGTAGAAAATAAACAAACCTAGAAAAAAATAGCATAATTCCTACAACGGCACAACGAAGACAAGATAAGAACACATCATTAACTTTATTTAGGAGACCCCGTTGTCTAAACCTACCTATTGTCAAGGGCCCTATGTTGCAAGAGCTTAGTTGTTTTGTTCCTGTTACAACTATAACGGTTAACAAATCCCCCTCCATTAGAAAAATATGGAGTTGGGCTGTTTAAAAGTATTTGAAATTAGGACACTTGGGACAACTTTGTGAACATTGAGGGAAAATAGGCAAGACATGCATTACATTATTTTTAGAATGAATGAATCCTCATTGAGATTTTGAACATTGAATACACAATCCCCTTTATCTATGTGCCATTGTTTTTCCTCGTACAAATTAGAATTGTAAACTACTATTATTTTCAGAACATCAAAATTTCTATTTCCAAAATTACCCCTTTCCTCAAGAAACCAAAGAAGTGTAAATCAAATTGTCTTCAAATTTGGAAAAGAAGCTTTTAATGATGTATGGAAAGCTTTTTAATCAAACAGTTATCTCATGTCATTTATTAGGTTTGTTTTATCATAATTATCTTTTAGGTTCATTACTTATATACCATGTATGTTAGGAAACTATCTAAATGTATCCTATAGTTTCAAAACTACTTATATATATGTCCCCTTTTGACCTTTCAAAGGTTAAATCTAACAAAAAATGTAAAGGACAAAATTGTCCTTAACTATCCATTAAATTTTCTAAACATGACATACTCTCTTCTTCTTTTTCTTCTTCCTTCCTCTTTTCTTCGTCGATGCAAAAACCACTAAACAAGAATATGGTGTCAGTCTTCTTTCCTATTTCTCCCCCATTTCTTCTTCTTCTTCTTCTTCCCTATGGTGAAGGCGATAACAAAATTTGCCTTTGAAATGGTTTGCTCCCTTGGTTTTATAAAACCACTAAAAAGTATCTTCTATTAATTAGCTTAGGTGTGCCCCTTTTAAAAATTAGTGAAAATTGATTGTTGGCCATTTCTTTCTATTTTCTCACTAACCACACTTTCACATGGGAAAACACAATATGATGCAAGAATAAGAAATGAGAAAGAGAGAAGAGAAGCGGCCATCTTTGTCTCTTTAATTTGGTAATGAGGAAGGAGGAGGATAAGAAGGAGAGAGAGAGAGAGAGAACAGGGGAGTTGTCACCTCCCTAGTTCATTCTGGTAGGAGATTGAAGAGAGGAAGGACAGGAGAGGTGGGGTAAAAACGAAATTATAAAAAGTTTAATGGCCATGGGAAATGCCCCTAAATGTTTTCCTAATAGATGGTCTATTTTAGTTATGTAGGGCCATCTTATAAGGTATATGCAAGTAGTTTTTGAAACTACAAGGTATATATATATAGAGAGAGAGAGAGGTAATTAATATTCCTTATCTTATATACTTTTACATGGCTTTAAATAGAATAGATTGATAAAACAGGACTTATGTAGCCGACCCATATAGGTGGGATAAGGCATGGATGATGATGGTCATATATACTTTTATATATGAAATTTACACTTTTAGGCATAAAATATAATAAAATTTGCAGAAAAAAATATAGGAGATCTTTGTATATATGATTAACTGTATAATTAGTCTAGGTCTGAATCAGTTCAGGATAGCAAGCTAGAACTGTCTTGACACAATTTTTAATCAGGACAAGACCATAGAACTAGAACCGGTAACAATTGCTTTGATTAATTCATTTCTATCGGGTAGACTCAGCCCATTGACAACTCTATTTTGAGCCTAACAACATTATTTCCAACATTCAAGACTCTTTGCAGTGAAGCCAAATAAGGCTAATTAACCTCATTGGCAAACGTAGGGACATATTGTCGTGAGCAGTGGTCAATCTATTCATGTAAACCATGAAGAGTTGGCTGTTAACTAAGGTAGATGCCATGAAGGAGAGCTTGTTGTCTCCAATAGAGAATGAATAAACTCCAAACCAAGATCTAAAACAAACTTTAGCGGTTCCAAAATAGCAACAACTTCCATGTTGTACGTAGAGTAATTTTCATTGCTCTACCATAATAGAAACCTCTAGCTATTTTGATCAAGGATCACTAAGCAAATAGTAAATCTCAAACTTATTGTAGTCGCATCAGAGTTTACTTTTAAAGCTCATAGAGGGGGTCAAGACAAAAGAAAGCTAGCTCCTTCTCATTGACCAAGTGTACCAGAAGGTTGTTGGGTGGCCTTTGAAGCCTTGTGGTGAACAAAGGACTCCATTTCATTAATGTGAGAATGGCCATTGCTCAGCATTGAGCAAACATCCACCTGCTACAGACATATAGCGCGCCTTCAAAATGTGTTAAAATTGCACATTTATAAGAGTTCATATCTCTGCCCCACAATGCCCCAACAACACATCCCCACCTTGTATTGGGAACATCTCCCAATAACAAGTACAGGAGATGACGAGACATCATTTGGAGATGTTCCCTATATATACAAGGTGAGGATCTGCTGTGAGAAAAGACACATGAGTATCATCACAAATGTCATCATGAAATGCGCAATTAGCTAACTAGCCCAATACCATCCAGCTCCCACTTCCATTGATGTGAATACTCAACCTTAACCCAAATCAAATTACACTTGTCACAAGTACAATAAAAAATATATATTCAACTATTTCAGCTTCAACTCCACACCATGGACACATGTTAACCTCTTTGTCAACTAGATCTGATATCATATATAGGTAGGATTTTTAAGATGCAATGACAGAAAAATGGATGGACTCCAAGGGGTAAGTGCTTGATCCCATGATATGCCACCAAAGGCCAACTAAACAAATGAGGATTGGGATTCTTGACTCTTCAACAACTTGTAACCAGAAGCCATCATTAACTCTCCTCTAGATTACTGTTGCCAAACCAATGTGTCCTCCATGTTTAAAGGATCTTCTGGGAGTCTGATGGGAGAGAATGGTATCACTTCTAATTGTACCAAATGCATGTCACACCTCATGTTCCCTCCATATATTGTTGGTCCTTGACCGATTGTTGTAAAATCAGGAATTAACTCATGGGTCACTAAGGCTGTGTTTGGTTTGAAGGAAAAGGTAGAGAAAGGAAGGAAAATGTAGGGAAATCTTTATAAATCTTGTATAGGTTTTTCTACCTTTCCCTACCTTTTCCTGCAAACCAAATATATATAGCCTAAGTGAATCCACAATCCATCCATTACCAATCGGCCACAAGGCCTCCTTCCAAGTATCAACCCTGCAGTACTTCAGGATACTACTCCATATTGGTGACATCAATCTTGAAATCTCCATGGTCCAGATTGTAGAATGAGAGAGAGCCATGCTAACCTCAACATCATCACCTTATTCTTTAAAAACACATCTTGAATATATATTGTATTTCATTCTCTTTGCTAATAAAATGAGATCGACATTTCTTTATGATGTATTGCATCTATGGTTGTATTTGTTTATAACTAATAGGTAGGTCCACATGTAACACTGTATGGCACTCAAATTCTAAGTGAGACTACTTATCAAGGGAGATCTAGATGACCCAGTTCCTTATAGCTAGACTTGAAATATCCTAATTAAGGGTGAGTCTAGAAAACTCACTTACAAAGTTACTGCATGGATGGTTTTTATAAGATGGTGTAGTGTGATCTCAAGCCATTGGGGTGAGACTCCATACTACCATCATGTGCATTTGTACTAGGATACACACTAATAAGATCTAGTATGAGATTAATTCATGAAATGATTTTGTATCATTGCCAATTTCATTAATATCTCATATGTAAAGTTCTTTTAGTCTTTGGAACTAAGGAGTGTTCCAGGGTTGTTGGGTTATGATTTGTCACTCTAAGGATAAGACTCCTATATAAGTCCATGGGTAGCATTGAGATGATTATGGAAAGAATCCTAGTTAAAATAGAACTCTAACATTCATCTGGTACTAGAAGAGTTTGGAATGAATATGGAAAGAGTTCTTGCAGCATTGCAACTCATAGGAAAGTTTTTAGAACATGTATAGTATCTTAATTGAATTGGGAATCCTTGATATACCTGGGTGATGGCATGCTATAGAAACTACCTTGAAAGAGTTTCAAAGCAAGAAATTGAGTTTCAGGAGGTTTTCCCGGTCAAATTAAACTCATGTAGTGTAAGATTAAATTGTAATTTTACTTTGTATATATGGAAGCATCAATGTGATAATTTCCAAACTAGAAAGTCTTTCCAATCCTAACTGGCCACAAATTAGAGAGAGTAGATGAAAGATTCCAATCCAAGAGCATAGAGAGATCAGGTATCTCTTTGAGAAACCTTAATATTCATTATGGTACGCAATAGATCTAGATTCAAGGCAACAGTTGCAGTAGACAAAAGGAATAGTGTGACTTCTATTAAAGAAATAGATTTAGCAACTTGGTTACTTGGATCATGATATTTGGAATAACTTTTCATGGAAAAACTCGGTTTTGGACGTGATAAACC